ATAATAGATAGCATACATATAAAGATCCAAATATTCAACACATTCATTAATGCACCCTAGAAAAATTATCATTTCCGTGAACTGTCGATATCTCATATGACAAGGGAACCCATGGTACAATTTTTATTTCAAAAGAACTTCTTGCTCATACTTGCAAGAAGCAACTGAAGAATGTAAAGTCAGGGCTAATTACAAATTTATGAAAAGATGGACCATGCACTGTGTTCTAGCTCCCATCTGATCAGTTCAGACAACTCTTTTCGGACGGTCATGATTGCTTCACAGCAACATTTGGACTGAGGTCCATGCTCATGTGGTTATAGGCAAGAGGTGTGTACATCCATGTATCTTCAGAGCTCAGGAGCTGTTACGGAAAAAAAAGGGAAGGTAAATGAGAGGCATGCTCCTTACATTGAATTAGTATTTTTAGATGCAGAGTATACAATGCTCTGTTCTCCCAAACCTAATATGTAACCTTTTTTGTTCAAGCACTAAAATGGCCTCAAGATGTATTTGCATAGAGTTGGCTTTACAACTTGAGAATAGTATCAGATGAAGACAACAACTAAACCTAGTTAAGTAAAAAAGAGATCGAATGATACTGCTAGACAAAAGGAGCCAACCACAGGCAATTTGAACATATGGAATAAATCAAAACTAAACCACATGTCCATGAAGGCATGAATACCAGCATAATTGACTACTTGGTTCTCGCTTCCCACTACAAAAACTCAAGGATAACACAAAAACCATACTACTCAGTTGAAATAGTATTACTGATAATAATGCTTGAGAAACAATGCTAAGATAACAATAACATAGCCACGAATAAGATATATTGTTAAAACTAGTTGAGCGTCTTAATTGCAAACTACAATAGCAAGTGCAACCTTGTAATCAGAGAGAACAAAAAAAATATTTCAGGCTGCAAGTCTAATGACACGTTGAAGAGCAAGTTTAAGAGAGAAATCAGAAATTTGGATGACTAAAAAAATAACATGTGATTTGACACCCAAAAAGAGAAGTGGAAGGGAGGGGGGGAAAATATACCTTCAGACCTGGTCACAACCTCTCTGCTTGTAACAGTTACACCTGGCCATTAAAGAAAGAGTCAAACTAGAAGTACAAGGAAACACTGATTGGTTTTATTTTGGTCTTTTGGAACAAACCAGTACATGCCAATAACATAGAACGGTCATAATTCATAGCTGTCAATTCAATACATACTAACTCAAGTCAGTTTGCTTTCAAAATTGCATAATAATACATATGCATTTATTACTGTTTAACAACCAAATAGCAATTGTGCATGCTTGGTGTGTCCCCACTATCAGACCATGTACTGACTACAAAACAATTGATGAATTTGATTTAAAAAGTTACAAACTCTTTCGCCACCCTACAGCAAATAATTTGATTTGTACATGTCACAAGCCATGTTCTATCGCCAAGTAGCAAGCACAGACTTTTCATAATCCAACATTAATCAGGAAAATTGAGTGAGCGAGTCTAACCGAGAATCTTTAACCGACCTGAGCCGCTGTTGAAGTAGGCGATGAAAAGGATGACACCCTGCAAACATGAGCAGTGTCTATTCTAGTTTGACTGGGTTAATTAGATATTCTGAGGTGTTGTATAATACATAAGTTGGAGAGCAAAATATTCAGAAAGGCAGCTCATGGGAAAATGGCACAACAATGAACTCAATTTAGGAACAAAATGCTAGTGCTGCGAAGCCAGCAGATCAAGATAATTCATGGGAAGTGCATGCTAAGGTGCAGGACAATTCCACCTATTGGGGAGGCTTTGCTTGGAATGCTGGAGATGGAATTGGAAGACCAAATACCAAGTCTAATGCAGGATCCAGTTGGGGTGAGAAAGATAGGATGGAATGTTGTGCCTGTTGAGAACTCACAAGGTACTGCTCAATGGAAAGAGACAGCTGATTCTAGTAACAAGGACTAGAAAGTACATGGATGGGGTGCCAAATCTGGTAACAGGAGCACAAGAACTACATATATTTCACCTGGAGCAAAAGAACAAGAGCAAAAGAACTCGAGAAATGGCTCAGATTTACCCATTATCAGCATGACAACTACAACTTAATTTCACCTGGAACTTAATTTAATTCTCTCTATCTAATGGGAATTGAACTGGCCACAGAACTGGTTGCTTGTACTGGTACAAGCCATCATAGTTAAGCAGCAAACAGAACAAAATATCCCAAGTACCAGCTCATAAGGTGCTAAAGTGCAGAAGTTCTCTAATGGAAACTTGATTCATCACAGCCACTCAAGAGTAGTACAAAACAAAAAAAAATCACAAGGCATAGTTAGGGAAGGGGAGAGCAGCGCAGCACAAAACTGCAACATAGAAGATGGTAATTAGATTACTATAAGTATGATGGCTGCAGTCACTAATAGAAGGTTCATTTGGAGGAACTTGCTTCCAGAATTCTGCGAGCAACAAAGCAACAACGCTTATTTCAGATTAGGAAGTTTGGACAGTTGCTATGCCTATCTTATGCAATTAATTTCAGCATTTCCCTTTCACTCCACATACTACTATAATTAATAAAGCAATTTTTAAGAACAATTACCTCAATTACAAACATAGATGATAGGACATCGACACAGTTCTAAATGTGACATTTCGACTTGTGATTTGTAAGAACATATGTAGTTTCAAATAAAAAAATATATATGCTGTATATTTTTTTAAGAAAAGTAGGACTGAAGAGAGCCCTGGACTCTTCAGAAGTCTTAAATGTTGCTACCTGCTGTTACCGAACTCACAACCTCATGGAGCAGCATTCAACAAGCCTCCTCCAGCCACATAACCCTCCCACAACGTAAATGTACTATACATAAGAAAATCTGCACCACACATGAAACATTTATTTAGCTGTTATACATAAGAAAATCTGCAGAAAGTAAAAAACAAGATGGAGATCCTAGGACAATTGGTTGAAAAGCAAGCTCCTAATTGAGATCTCTGATCTCGCCACTTTGCCAAATATAGACAAAAAAAAGAAATTACAGTTGCAACTAAACAATCATGGATGTAGAACAGATAAATATCAGCAGAGATTTTTTTCCTTTTGCCCCTGTTATGATCTTGGCAAACCTCTCTTTGGTATGCTTTAACTCTGAATTAGTACAGATATGGGCAGAAACAAAAAAACAGCCATGACTATGTTACATTATGCTTTAACTCTGAAGATATGGGCAGAAACAAAAAAACAACCATGACTATGTTACATTACTGACAATTTGCTAGACTTAATTTGTTCAATTCTTCAAGGCTATACGATCCAAGAGTTAATTCCTCTACCCAGTATCTACAGAGCACAGCACAGCAAATCGAAACAGAAGTGAGGCGAGGAGGGAGAGGGGGGCACTCACCGTGAGAGCGAGGATGCATGGCTTGGCGAGCCTACCGAGCTTATCGAAGATGCTGAGCGGCCCATGGCGATACGGATGGAGAAGGCCACCTCGTCACCACGAGCGCCTGACGCCGTGCTTGACCTCTCCGCCTGTATGGGAAGCCGATCTGAGGAGATGGGGCAAAGAGCGAGGGACACCTTGATGTCGCCCAGATCCACGGAGGTTCCCCAAGCAGGCCATGGCACCCTCGATGGGAGCACCACTCACTCCCCCCGCACCGCTAGATCCGCGATGGGCAGGGAGGTAGGGTTTGGAAGAGGCAAGTGGTACTCATGCGCGGAAATCCAGGGGTAGGGAAGGGGAAGTGGAGGAGGAGGAGGAGGAGCGGGAGGGGAGGGGCGGCACCGGCCACGGATCTCGCCGGTGGGGGCGCAGGAGGAGGGCCATGCCGGGAAGAAGGTAGGGAGGGGGAGAGGGAGGGTGGCACCGGCCACGGATCTCGCCGGTGGGAGCGGGGAGGAGGGGCTGCGCTGGGAGAACGCTGGGCGCGCCGGATCTCGGGAAGAAGGTAGGGGAGGGGAGAGGAGGGATGCACCGGCCAAGGCCGAGGAAGAAGGGAGGGAGGGAGGGGTGGGATCCGGCGGAGGATGAGCGGTGCGGGTCTGCGGGGAGGAGGGGGGGTGTGGGGGCTGGGGGAGGGGAGGGAGGGTGGTGCAAGGGAAGAAGGGGAGGGAGGGGAGCGTGCGTGCGTGAGGAGCCGAGCGGGCGAGTCCGCGGCGGGTTAGGGTTAGGATTTCTTGGTTTTTTCTGTGCGTGTGTACGTTTTTTCTGTGCGTTTTAAAATAACCGACAGAATAATAATATTTTTCTGTGCGTGTATATATTTTTTCTATGCGTTTTTAAAGAACCGACAGAATAAGTTACATTTTTCTGTGAGTGCTGACTTTTTCCGTGTGTGTATTGGCACGCACATAAAAATCAATTTTCGTATTTTTCTGTCGGGATATTTTGAAACCGATAGAAAAAGATTTTTCTGTGCGTACCGAAAAAAACGCACAGAAAAATTAAACACCCACAGAACCATTCGAGTTTCCAGCAGTGATGCATGCATAGGCCATTGGGATTTCAACAAATTTGTTGTTGAATGGATGTATGTCCCTATTTAAGTTGGCCACCTTTCAAATTCGCGAGCAATTTGGGACTAAAGCATCTACTATTCTCTAATTATGCATGCATGGGCCATTGGGATTTCAACATATTACATGGGTCTAGCCCACATAATAGTGCTTAGTCCACACGCCTATTCTTTTCTTCCATGTTTCTTTCATGCTTCGAGGTACCAACGGTTTTTAATTAAAAAAATGCTACAAAAGTTGATCTTGACATGACCACCAAAAAAGTTGCAAAAGTTGCACACAGTTCAGTGCTAAGCTAGGCCACCGCCTATAAGAACCCTCATGGGGCTTCGAGACAAGGCCCATGCCTCTTAAACCTACAGGCAGCTTGTCTCAGCTCTAGAGCCCGCTGATATACCATATACTATCCACTCATACAAAACTTCAGGCAGAGCAACTCCGATCCTAAGTAAATCCTTAAGCTTTCCACACATCAAATATGAGGATCAGCAAAAGTGCCCCAGATCTCCTGAAGAAGGCAGTGACGTCCGTTAAGAGCAAGACTGATGCTCTAAGAACAAAGCTCATCATTCTGGCCTCTGTGCGCCGAAGGTTGGCGATGGTCCGTGCGATGTCTCGCCAGATCCATGAGCTTGTCGCGTCGGACAGCCGGGAGAGGCCGACTAGGGTGGAGCACCACAGGAAGGCTCTCACGATGCCCAAGGCAATGATGAAGAGCGAGGAGCCGGCTGGTGATCACGGTTCTAGGGCACATCCTGGTCTGTTTGAGGGAAATTACCATGGCTACCCAGACTGGACCAATTCCCTCTTAGAAGATGACAAGTGTTACAGGAATGAGGAGGATGACCATGACGACGACGACCACGATGATCTTGGTATTCTTGATGCGCTTCATGAAGAGCCATCGGTCATCGAGATCATAAGGAGCAAGCGGGAGGCTGAAGGTCTGGAGTTCAACATGGACCATGACATCGACGAGGCCTGTGACATGTTCATTAGGAGGTTCCGAAGCCGGATGAACCGGAGCTCTAGTGATCTTTGTATTAGCGAATAGTAATGACAAATTGAGTGTTTCATAAAAAAATGGCAAATTGAGTGACAGTATATAGAAGGTTGGACGAGATACTTGAGATTTACTCCTACGTAGTAGTGGTTAACTGGGGAAGAATGGAAATGAACTTGGTTGTTTCTTTTAACACATAAGCTTATTCTGGAGGGAGCATATGGTTCACCAGTTTTAGTCTTCATCTACCAGTCGTTCCAGTATCATAACTGCTACTCCGTATGTTCCAAATTGTAAGTTGTGTAGCCTTGCCCTAAGTCAAAAGTCAAATTCATAACTGCCACTCGATCCATATGTTCCAAATTGTAAATGGGTTAGCCTTGCTCTAAATTAAACTTCTCTAATTTAAACTGTTAAAAAAAATATGTACATTAACATCTAAAATATAAAATAAATACATTATCAAAACAATCTCATGCAATATCTAAAAATTTTGTTAGACATTCTAGACGTTTATGTATTTTTTATAAACTTAGTTAAAACTAAAGAAATTTGACTTATGATAAAATTAAAATGACTTATAAATTGAAACAGGAGAAGTGGTTATTTGAATACGGGCCTGTTTGGAACGCAGGAATCAAAAACACGGGAATAGTAAAAAACGCAGGAATGGGGTGAGTGTGTAGTGGTAAAACAGAGGAAAGGAAAAACGCGGGAAATAACTAGAAGGGGTGTTTGGAACGCAGGAATCCATAACACAGGAAAAACGCGAGAAATAACTAGAAGGAGTGTGCTGCGTGAGCAAGCAAGCGTCGTAGGAAAATTTCCTTTAGCTCTGAGCACATGTTTTATTTCCTTTGTTTTGTGAGCGGTACAATCATTTCCTCTGGAATGAACGGCATGTGTTCCCGCATTCCAAACAGCATGTGACATCATCAAACTATAGGAATCAACTTCCTCCAAAATTCCTACGAAGATCCTCCGTTCCAAACGGGGCCTACATGTGGACCTAAAGTGACTATACACAAATAAACAATTTCTGTGTGGTTTGTTCCAACATTAACCTATTAGTGCTAACATAAAAGGAGACTTCTATATCTATTAGTCCTAATTGCTAACCCCTAATAATACAACTCAACTCCAACTGTAGCTGGATTGTACACATATTCGACACATATCTAACACTCTACAAATATAGTTTTATAGCCCTCAAATTTAAGTTTCCAACAAAACTTGAGTACTTTTTTTCATTCAAGAAAAGTTGAACTATCAAATTTATTTATCGTGAGAAACGTGGCCTCACTCTCCACATATACTACTAGCGTAATTATATCTTAATTAACCCTGCGGTGCCGTCCCTGCAGCTAGCTTTCCCGTCAATAATGGAGTTCACCATACCAGTGATTATTTCCTTTCAATAGCTAGCATTGGGTGTCGCTGTGTCAGCTGCCACAGTATCCGCGCTCGTGTATAGTTGGAGTCGCCTCCGCAAAGATACTTTGCAAGTGCAAGGGCAGGAAGCAACGGCCGGCATGATGACGACGCTCAGCTCCCTACCATGCATATCTCGATCGACGCGATTTGATTTTCTTTTTGTGTTGACGAGAACAACCAAAGCGCCCGCGCACGGAGAAGCACAGCCACAGCAGTATATAGTATCATCACAAAGCTACTTCTGAAAGCTAAGGGCACTTGTAGCCTCTCTTTGTGTATGAATCGCACGGAAGCGACCACGAAAAGCGTTTTGGTTAATGGTGGGGATGCACATCATCATTCACCAGCCGGCTACTTTTTTTTTTAGATTTTCACCAGCCGGCTACTGATGCAAAACCAACGACGGATTTGGAACTTGGGATCCGGGAGAGCCAATCATCAGTCATCACCATTCGGCAGGTGTTGATTGGAGTTTTCTTCAAGGTAGAAACCTAAGTTCTAGAAAATTAAAATACGAGTAAAATGCATTGGCCGCCTCTAAACTTGGCAGAGGGAGTCATTTAGGTCCCAAACTCCTAAAATGCACATATAGGTCCATAAACTAGGCACACGGTACGTCAAAGGTCCAAACGGGTCCAGGCTAACGTGGCAGTCCACGCTAACACCAACGATGCTAGACTAGCCTCTAAACTTGGCAGAGTGTGTCATAAGGTCCCTAAACTTTCAAAATGCACAACCACATACATGAACTAGGCCCACACTATGTCACAGGTACAAATAAAAACTCCATCGGATCAAATGCTCTACAGTATTTTTCAAAAAATACTACATCGGATCAAATAAAAACCACGACGGATGCTCCGGTGAACATCAATAAGTTGGCCACTTTTTGATGCTTCGATATTTATGTCGTATCTTTTTGCTCTAGACTCTAACTTTGATGTTCTTGGACTTTTTCGAAAACTTTTGAAAATATTTACATGTTTTTCCTAATATAATAGCAATTTGACCAATTATAAAGTAATGGGACAAGTCCAATTCAATCCTCTCTTTGTCTCGTCTTTAATTCTTTTCCTTTTGATTTCTTCCATCCCTATAACCTGTGAACGCATCTTAACACACATGTTAGTCCTATTGTCATCTAAATCACTTACACCAAACTTGATCATGTATAGGGCATATAATCCTTACAAGCTTTTATCTCATCAGCATTAGACATCCAATTTGAATCACTATAACCCTCTAGTACCTCGGGTACCTAGTATAGTGAATACCAAAATCATAGTCCTTTTAGATAGAGTATCATTCTCTCAATAGCACACCAATGATCACTCTCGGGTTAGAAACAAGCCGACTTACTTTGCTCAAAGAATGAGATGTTAGACCTCATATAACTAGCCAAATGCATAAGTGAGCCAATGATACGGGAGCCGTCTCAATTGACCCCTTGTCGCTTTTTCAATGTTTCCTCAATAACACTAGGATCATATAGTGTTGGAGTAGGTTTGCAACCACTATATCCAAAGCAACACAAAAACATTTTGCACATAGTGCGATTGCAGAGTATAATCCAACCATCACCTTCTCTCGAGTAGCTTAATGTTAATAATAATGCCACCACTCCAAAATCTTTCATTTCAAAATTTTGATACAAAAAAAAATCCTTGACTTCCTTAATCCCATTAAGTTTTGTATCAATATGTCATCAACATACAAGCATAAGATCAGCGCCCCCCCCCCCATAGCAACAGTACACATAGTTTTACCGAATTCTCAGGGCATTACTTAGGTTCTTGCTTAAGACCATACAATGTTTTCAATAACTTACACACAATTTCTTCTTGACCTGGTACTACAAATCCATCTAGCTTATCTATATAGAACTCTCTAACTCTCCATTTCGAAAAGTTGCCTTAACATCCATATAATGAATGAGAAGATCGACTATGTGAGGCATCCAAGGAAAATAGTACTCAAATTGTGGTCAATTGGACAACTAGTGAGTAAGTATCTAAAAAAAATATTTCCTCTCTTTTTGGGTATAACCCTTGGCCACAGACCTAATAATATCAAAAGTAGAAGCACTAGGGTTTGAAGTTAACACATCGATAAACAACCAATAAGATTAGAAGCTGAAAGCTAAACTATAGATTCATTAAAACAAAAAGATATAAAAAGGGCCATAATATAATTTAAGCTAAAGTTCCAACTCTATATATTAAATACCCATACAGATGCAATTAATAGAATTAAAACGCATATAGAGTAATTGGTAAATTATCACGATCGGATATATATTGTGGAGTATCTAAATGATTATTGTGTTGGAAATGGAGAGAGAGAGTGAAGATAACTAATTTTAGTTGTGCATACTTAAATCCATCCAGAAAACTTTTAATACTTATTATGTGATGTGCATACTTAAAGCCATGTTGGAGCACAAGTTGATAGGCTAGTTATAATAGTAAAATAAGATGCAGCGACAAGAAGATATTTTTTTTAGAACTGAGAAGCCAGAATTAGGTTTTGTTTGTCATGGCTCCGGTCCCTTGCTACAACGTAAAGAGGAGCCGGAACTGGTAAAGCCAAAAAAATAATTTTATTGACTATATGTTGAGAGAAGAGATAAAAACAGTTATTTACTACGTACAGTCTATATAATGCACGGAGGAGCATGAGCTGAAACCAGCCAAAACTCCACTGCATGCCGAATCGCCAATTTGCCATAGGAAGACAAAAGTTTCCATCTTGCACACAAGCTGATTTACTTTTGGTGCTGACATGCAGCAAAGCACACGCGCGCACACAGACACATAGAAGAACCGTTGTCAGTTTTCTAGTGTACACCACTGCAGTCTACACTATAGAGAAAATTAAAGCTAAGGGCACCGGAAACAACTTTGAGCTAGCCTGCCCCACTGGGCATGAATCACACGGAAGCGCCCAAGAAAACAAAAGCGACCCCCTTTGGCCGCTTGTCCGCTAATGACGGTGGCCATCACCGGCTACTTAGTGCATAAATTAACAAAGAATTTGATTTTTTTCAGAGGGAGCCAATCTTCTCCTGGGGCAGGTGCACTTTCATTCCGTAACTTGAGTCACTTTTTTCTTCATGTCATTTTTCAAAAACCTTTTTCTTAGGAACGCAGTGCATATGCTCATCACTTACAAGCGCAGGCCTTCATGTCATCGGCACATATGAACTCATGTCGATCGTACAATCTGCCCCTATGAACTTAGGTGCAGTTTGGTTTAACTTTTGGGACGATGGCAACGATAATGTAATTAACTCACACCGCTACCTGTTACACTGCAATATTTAGTAGCTTTTGTTTGGTTGGGACGCCAGCTTTTGTCATGGAGCGAGACGTCTGCAGCGTAATCATTAACTCCGGGAGATGGGCAATATCGAGATTCTGAAGACCAGTATCAGGTACCGCGGCAACTGGATACAGGAGGTCTAAACCAAGCAACAAATAAAGTGATGAGGTCCGCCTCGGCCTAACCTGGTAGGCCTTCGCTGCGGTCCATTGACCTTCGCCAGGTGGAGCCGCAGGAGTGAAGGCTTCTGGTTCACTTCCCTGCACATCACTCCAACAATTGGTTAACGTTAGTTT